AGTGAATCGTTAGAAGAACCAGCCCAAATATGACAACAATATTCCATACAGGGACGAATAAGAGATTTGTAGAGGTAGAGAATGGAATCAGAAGTAAGGAAATGGCGAGCACGATAAAGAGAAGCAACCTTAGCAGAAGCTAGTTTAGCAATCAATTGTATATTTGGTTTCCACGAAAGGTCAGTAGTAAGCGATAATCCAAGAAGACGTAAAGAGGAGGACTCAGTAAGAGGATTGCCATTCATTAATATATGAATGTTGACCAAATTACGGTAGTTGTTTGCAGTAAGCAACTGGGTTTTTTTAGAGTTGAAGTTCACAAGCCACTGTGAACCCCAATCTATTACTGAAGTGAGATCGGATTCAAGATCAGCTGTTTGTTCTAGGCGATCGAAAAAAGACTTTTTGTCAAGACAGGAGTATAATGTTGAGTCATCAGCAAAAAGAGCTACTTTAGATGAAAGGTTGTCAGGAAGATCGTTTATGTAGATAAGAAACAAAACAGGGCCCGCGATGGAGCCTTGGGGAACCCCAGAAGTTACTGGAAATAAAGAAGAGTGTTGGCCTTCAAGGATGACTTTAATAAACCAGTTAGAAAGAAATGATTTGATAATCTCAAAAACTTTCCCAGAAACACCAGATCTTAAAAATATAACTAAGTTATAATTTATCGCTTTCACAAAAAATATTGTTGACCGTTTCATTTTTTTATATATCATTGCTGTCTTTTGTAATAGAATTTTTTCTAAATATTGGAACAGTATGCCAATTTATTACATCCAAGTCATTAATATTTATGTATAGTTATATCACATCACCTCTTGATCTTCTGATTTTTAATGTGGGGAGAAAGGTTTATCAGTGAGTTTTTACATGATAAATCTTTTAAACTATAAACACGAATTGCTCTATGTTGGAGTTGTTCAATCATAATAAAACCCTTAAAAGGGTTCAATATTTAGAGTGATGTCTAAAAAATGATGTACTTTTAACGTTAAATTTCTTTTATCTAATAATTTCAATAAGTGTTTGATTTGTCCTAATGTCAAACTTCCAAATTCATTTTTTCTTAATAATTTTATTTTTAAAACGCTTTTTTAAAATTAATTTATTAAGAATTGCCAATAATGATGCTACTAACCTGATTTTTGTTTTAGTAGGTAGCATATATTTTTATATATTACGTTTTAGTTTGTGTGCTCCAAACTTTCTGCAACTTATAATGAAACTCCATTCTATAGGTTTAATGCCTTTTCTTATTTTGTTATTTTATATAAAAAAACTTTAAATAAAATAGTTTTAATTATTAGATTTCATAGTATTGATGTTTTGTTTTTAGAGTTTGTTTGTGTTGATTAATGTGCCACCACATAAATGTAGCAAATATTAATGAAGCTATGGCAATAAACTTAATGTTGACACAAAAATGCCAAATCTCAAGTTAAATGGTTTATCTGAATCTGGTAAGTTTACACTTAAATAAGTTATTTATATTTTTGTTTTCAGTGTTTAAGTGAAGGAAAAGTTTTTTGCCCTTATTTTACTATTACTAATGACTAGATTTACTGTGTTTTATAAAATAGTTTCTGTGTATAAAAATATTTAGGAAGGTTGAAAGGCATTTTAATTTTTATTTATTTTTTGTTTATTCAAATAAATTTTACAATAAAACAATGAATAAAATACATACAATAAGAGATACAAATTTTGTTAAATGATAAGAACACAGATACTCGCATAAAGTCATAAGATCTTGCCATCGAGAACCGCCTAAACAGATTTTAAATTAAAAAATATTTAAGATGCTTTAAATTGTAATTATGCTGTGGCAACATTTTAAAGTTATCTATTTATAATAAAATGATAAATTGTGTGTCATATACTTTATTTAGAATCTGTTGTAAATTAAATTAAATATCATAAAATGTGAAATCTCAAGACATTTTTAATGAAGTTTTGGCCCAAAATAATTGTACCACATGTTTTAACATATATAATTGTAAGTATCCTGCATTTGGTTGCAATTTTAAATTTTCATTGTGGTATTCATTACATTTTAGTTCACAAAGTTATAAAAATATTAAGGATCTTTTTATAACTTTGTCTCAAGTCTAAGTAACTATGGTTTGTTGTCAATGGATTGAACTTTTTCGTCAATAATAAAAATAATTGTTATTGTAACATGATAACTATGTTGTTTATAAGTTGTGACAATTTTGTATATATGTTGTTACTATATTGTATAAGTATATATGTAATAAATTATTAAGCTGTGTTTATGTTTGTTTTTATTTTATTAAGTTAAAATGGATGCAAGCACTAAAGAAGAAAATAACGTTACAAATTGAAGCAGAAATTTAACGAATCATTTTGACAATTGGATATGAATTGCAGAAAAGCACCATTGTCGAATCGTTATGAATCAAATCTTTGTGTCATAGTTGCGTAAATTTATTTTAAAATTTAAGCCTGTTTTTTAAATTTAACATAATAATTAAAATTGTCAATAATTGTGTGTTTAATATATTTTATTGCCCTTAAACTCATAAAAAAATAAACCAATTTTAAACCAAAAAATTATAGTCGATTATGCTTAAAACAACTTTAAGTAATTAAAAAGACGGGGTCTTAAAGTAAAGTATAGAGACTTCAAATAGGATTGCCCAATGAAAATCCATAACAACCCCATGCGCGACCCAGTTAGTTAACAAAGACAAAATCACGATGGCACGGTAAAATTCGTATGTAAAATATGTATGTAAAAATGGCTAATCATTGTTCTGCCAGTTTTTGTCCCGCACTGGCTAGCCGCTGTTTTGCCATCGTTGGCTAGCCACGGCTGGTCCATGAAAAATCCTTAGAGCAAAACAGAGCTTCGCCAGCGTTGGCCGGTCCAGTGCGGAAGCCTATATAGGACCAGTGCGGGTCCACTATATTCTAGCTGTCTGGGTATATATATATATATATATATATATATATATATATATATATATATATATATATATATATATATATATATATATATATATATATATATATATATATATATATATATATATAAACGGGGACGGACCTTATTATTTTTTTCTTTAATAAGTTTCTTTTAATTTATTTCAGGCCATCAACAGCTTATTCCATAGATCATCCAGGTTATTTCTTTAAAGTCCGGAAAATTGTTTGGGAAAAATATCTGAAACATATATTTTTTCTTATTTTCCTCTTAGTTTTGCTTTTAGCTGTTTCAAATTTTTAAAATTTTAGTATGAGCGATGAGTGAAAAAGCTGAAAAAAACAATGAAATTAAAAAAATATATTTCCATACATGTATATGTATGGAAAACGTTTTGGCTATCCGGAAAAACTAAAAGTTAAGGAAAATCCGGAATTCCGGAAATATCCGGGAAAAGATAATCTCTGTTATTAGGACTCTTGCCCTGTTAATTTTAAAGAAAATTAAAGTTTCAACCAATTTGGCATTCTATAATATTATCTTTTAACACTGTTTAATAAACTTGATAAACTTTATAAATAAAGATCTTTTTAATATAGACTTGATAAACTTTATAAAACGGCATATAAATGCCTTATGAAAATTTATATAAATCAAAATTAAGTAAATATTGCTGCAATAAAATTTTCAAGTAAAAGTAAATCTGTAACATTTGATATAATTTTTAATAATTTACATAATTTGAAGTCCCAGCTCCGAACAGGAGAGCAGTTAGGCATAATTGTAACTTTTTTTTAATTTTAAACTTAATTTATATTCATCAACATAATTCAAATTTGATTCAATAATCTTTTGTTTTTCGGCTTTTATAAAGTTTACACCCCCCTCAAATTGAGGGGGCTGTAAACTTTATAAGATCATAAAAGCCGATCAACAAGAGGTTATTGAATCAAACTTGAAATTTGACAATGAATATAAATTAAGTTTAAGATTAAAAAAAAAATTACAAATTTGACTAATTGATCGCAATTTTTTGCACAGTATCCTCATTCTTCATATATATTAACATATTTAAATATGGAGTTTTCTTCATGTTCCAAAGTTGCTAAACTCAAACATCAAAAAAAGTTGTCTACGGCCTTGCTTAACGTTTATAATATTTTTTGTTTTATCTACAAATGTAAAACGAAATTATCCCCGTCTCCTTTTCATAGTTTATTTATAACAAAAAATAAAAACGATCAACGAAACGATGATTTTTTGATGCAACCATTTTCAAAAGCTAATCATTGTAAATTTTGCGTATCATTTCGTGAACCATATCTTTAGAACAAAATTGGCTTAAATAACCTTGATTTTTCTTTCAAGTTACATTTTGAATTACATCTTTTAAAAACAAGTTGAAAGAAGTAGTTATAAAAAAGTTGAAAGAAGTATGACAATATACAAATGTACTTTAAAAACCTTTTCAAATTATCTATATCTATTATTTATATCGATTTATATGATTTGTAATGTATGATTTTTCTTGATATGATTTGTAATGTATGATTTTTCATGATATGATTTGTAATGTATGATTTTTCTTGATATGATTTGTAACTCAATTATTTACGATCTGCGAGCCTATATTGCTATTATACTATCTGTCAAATTATCTATAAGAAATTTTTTGTGATCTTTTTATTTTTTTGTAGTTTTTTTAATTTAAATCTTGTTATTCTTTTATTATTGCATAACACTTACTTTTTTAGTTACTATCTTACGACTTAGGCCTACTATCTTACTACTATCTTACGGTCTTCATCGAGTTTCCGCGTTCTTTTTATATATGTATATTAAATATCTTCACTTGCAATTGTTTACTTTTTTTGATTTTAGCTTGTAAATTTTAAGAACTATTAACGTGATGTTTTAAAACGTAAAAAAGGACAAACAAACAAACAAAAAAAATTAAAAATCAGTATCAAAAAAAAAAAAAGTTAAAAAAAAGAACAAAGGAAAATGTTAGAATTCAAGCGAATAATTAAGAATAAATAAGAAGCAACATCGTTGAATGTTTTCAAAGCGCGAATAGATAAACATTTTTCATAACTTGTGTTTTTTTAATTTGTGTGGGCTGTCAATAACCCGATGCTTGCATCGCGTTCCACAATTTATTTTATTTTTAAATATTTATATTTAAACAAATATGTAATTGTTACAGCAATAAATATTACTATTACTATTTTTTTTTTTTTTTTTTTTTTTTTTTTTTTTTTTTTTATAATTTAGCCGTACAAATATTTACAAGTTCCGTAATTTAAAATATTTAAAAATGGCAAGGACGAGAAGAAGACGGGGTTGTCTTATCACCAAGTCCCTTGTTTGTCTAGACATTTATATAAATACATGGTAACTAAAATGAAAATTAAAAAATTAAGAAAAAAGCAAAAAATTACAAAGAAGTTTATATAAAATGCCAAATAGTTTAATAGTTCAAAGTTTTGAAAGATATTTTTTCGATTTTATTTTTTGAAAGAAAAATTTAAAAGTTCATTCAGAAAAACAAAAATATCAAAAAACAAAAAAACATGAAAAAAGTAAACGTAAAATTTAATTTACAATCTGTTCTTATAAAGTGTAATATATTAATTCCTCAAAAACAAATTACAAAATATTAATATAAAAAATTAACACTCAAAAAAGATTACTTTTTTTATTTTTCCTCTCTCTCTTATTTAAGAAAACTAATAAATTTATTTACTATTACTATTACTAATTGTATTTTATATTTAACCGACTAAATGTTTTTTGAGTTTTTTTTTTGTTAATTAAAATTTTCTTTTTTCTTAATGATGTTTTGTTTTTTTATAATTTGTTGTTATTTTTAGACATTTTCTGAAAGGTTGTTACAATTTATTGACTTAACATATTAACAGATGTAAGTCTAATTTTTAAGAGCAATTTTTTTTTTAATGTTATTTTTTATTGGTTATTTTTAAAGTGTGTGATTTACTTTAATATTTGATATTAGTGTGATATGAAATATATTAAGTTTTTAATAATTTAAATGCTTTTTTTATCATCATGATTGTTGTTATTAATATTATTATTATTACTATTATTGCTATTATCATTATTATTATACAGAAAGTTAACTTAAAGTTACTCTACAGTAACAATTTACAGAGTTAAAATTTTACATACTAAATAAGTATGTTCCATATGAAGATATTAGTTAAACTACTCCATATTTGTCAACATGCGCACGATTTATTACCTTTAACTTCTAATACTTTCATATGGAAGTATCTAAAAAATTTAACTCTGTGAAATATTATTTTTTGAAACAAGAAAACACAGCAACTTTGAGGATTATTCATGTACACAAATAATTTCTCAAAATTCCCGACTCGATAAAATTATTTGTTTTCCGTAATCCATTATGGTAGACTTATTTTCCGATATTTGTGACGTAGCTCCGACCCGAAGGATATTATTTGCTTACACTTTATTTTAGATGAAAGAGATGAGCCCAGGCGAGCTGAGATAAACGGCCGTCAGAATGAAAGACGTGAGTCCAGGCAAGCCGAAATAAATTGTAATCAAAATTAAATAAATCACCCGTACGAAAATTTCCCATGGGAATTTTAGAAAAAAAACTCATGGAAAAACCATGGGTGTTTGGAACACGTTCCCATGAAAAAACCATGAGTTTTCCATGGAAAAACCATGAGTTTTCCATGGGAAACACATGAATTTCCCATGAAAAATCTTTAAGTTTTTCATGGAAAAGTGTTCCAAATACCATGGATATTCAATGATTTTCCATCCATGGAAAAACCATGGAATTTCCATAGGTATTAGGAACACCTTTCCAAGGAAAACTTATGGATTTTTCATGATAAAAAAGCATGATTTATTTTCAAGTTTTTTTATCTAATGTTATTTGAATTGTCATATTAAATCATAAAAGCAAATTTTATCCCACTATTATTGAGTTCTCTTAATCTATGAGATCGCTTTCTCCAAATAAAATCAATAAACAAAATAAAATTTAAATCTTGTTACATCCTACAAATCTTTGAAAAATAATAGCTATAATGCACCCAAAACATCAAAACTTGACTTCCCCACAATATTTAATGCATGCATATGTATAACATACTGAAAATAAATAAAACAAAAAATTACAAGTAATATAATACTATAAGTGATATACATAGTGATAAACAATTGAAATTTATCAAGAAAACAATTTTTACAGAAAATAAAACAATTTACACGTTTATTATTTTATATTAACTATTTATTAAAAATAGTATATACAAATTTGATAATAACTTCAAGTTTTAACAAGTTAAAAAGAACCATCAATACAACATATTTAATTCAAAAAAACATCAAGCCCATTTATAAATGCGTCTGTGCTGTATCTGTAGAAACAGGTAGATGTTAAACAAAGTACCATTCACATATTAATATTCATTTTTTTTCACCCTAGTTAGTCTCATTCTCCATTTCACCAATCTAGACAATACATCATATAACTATTATATACATTCTAA